CATATTATAACATTGGTAATATTGTAATTATATTGTAGCAATATTGTAGCAATATTTTAAACATATTTAGCAAAAATCGAAGGTTTCTACAAAGCTTCAATTAATGCATCGGAGTATGATACTTTTATTGGACTTAGAGTATTATAATATGGTCCCATTGAATAAGAACGTTCACCAGTGGTTGAAACTACAATTATATCATTAGTGAATCTGTGAGATCATTTTGAGAAATCTGTCTCCAATGACCATCCTTAACTCTCACTATTTGTTGAACAAAGAGATTTTCAATATCCTTCTAACTATTCTAACAACAGGTCAGGTTTGTCCATTTAATTGCTTCATTATTAAAACTTGGTGATAAAATTGCTCGGGTAATAAATTGACGAACAACTTTCCAACTTTTAAAATTATTATTAGTTGTTAATCCTTTTCCAGACTTTCTTAATTAATTCATCCCGAAGAATAAGGTAATATTGGCATGCTTTATCGAATTGTTAAAAAATTTTTCGATGTATCTGGGTGTGAAAGTATAATTCTGCGGTAACCACCAAGTTGAATTTCATAAATATCACCTTATTTTTTTGAGTAAGACAAATATTTGTTTAACATCAACCCAAAAGCAGTATGCACATTCTATAATTAGAAGAGAAAAAGGTCCTGGCAATTTATTCGGCCGAGTAAAACATTTGTAGTAAAATTGAAAGACATAAAAAAGAAAGAGGAAAATAATTGACAAAAATTGAGACTTTCAAAATGTTTATATAAAGGCATTTTTATGAAATAGAATTATTTCATAAGAGGATAATACTAGAGGTATCGAAAACACAGTATTTAAAATTTTATTTCCAAAATAACATAGAAAATTACAAAAAAAAAAAAAAAATTTATATAAAATTTATAATTATTTGAACGTTTTATTAAATAATTGGGTTGCAAAATCTAATCCAAATGATTCATTAGCACTTTTTGCTTCTTTTTGAGACTGCAGGGATCGAATTTTCCTATATCCTTCATAAATACAGAATATGTCAATCAAATTAGTATAAATCTCAATCAAATTCGTAATATTTGATTTTGATCTATCATCGATATCTCATAATCTAGTAATTAAATTTTGATAATTTTAATACCATTTGAATTGTTTTATTAAGACAATTTAAATGATACTAAAATTATTAAAATTTAATTACTAGATTATGAGATATCAATGATAGATCAAAATTAAATATTATGAATTTGATTGAGATTTATATTAATTTAATTGACATATTCTGTATTATGAGACAAATCTATATCTTAATCAGATAAATTTGGTATTTTATCTTTTAACTATATAATAGTCTTTTTGGCATTCTTTAACTTATTCTTAATTGATTATATTTAACTATTAAAGCTTGAATTTCTTGTGGTGATAAATATTTTTCAGATTTATTAAACATTATACCTTTTCTTATAAGGGCTTCTTTTGTTTTCATAATTGTTTGTAATTGTTACTTTATACAGGTAAGAGAATTTTTTAAAGTTTTTTTAGTGTTAAATACTTTTATAGTTTGCAAATAGTGGTTAAAAAGATTTGAATATTTTTGTATTATTTGTTTCTTGTATATACTAAATATTATTTTGTCCAAAAGTTCTAAGTACTATAGTAAAGAATGATTGTCTGACCAATTATATTTACTAAATTATGTCTTAAACCAAATATTATCTTGTTTGCTATCTTTTAATAATTTAAAAGTTTATTTTTTATATAAAATACTATTAATAAATTAGCTGACAGTTTGTATCTTTTATAATAGAAAGTTTAAAAAAATTATTATTAATTTTTGTATATATAGTATATTCAGATAATAAAGGTATCTATATTATTTCATCCTTTTTTGAAGTTGATATATAATATCTTGCAAGCTCATTTGCATTAGAATTATTTTATTAACTCATACTATAACTAGTGTAAAGACTTTATGAAGGTTTAAAACTTTTAATTTATATGAAACTTTACAGATGATTATACTTTTATTATTTCTTTGAATTATTGTTTATTGAATATATGTTTTATATTCTTCTAAAACAGGTTTATAATACTATTTATTCATTTTTTAAAATAAAATAATTTACACATTTTAGAATATAAGTTAAAAACTTTAATTTGTTACAGGATTACTATCGATATAAATATTGTACAAACCAGTTTTATATAAATATAATATAAAATATAATAATATCAGTAGTTTTAATTTCTAATAATGTGTATAAATCATTCTCTATTCTCTTTATTGTATTTGTATAAAAGTTATATAGTCAACTTTATATAATGAACTGATGATTTTAAACATAAAAGTTCACTATATAAATTACTATATTTTCTTAAAAAAAACAACTCTTATTATATTGAACTAATATAAAATTTAGTTTGCTATATCTAGAGTCATTATAAAAAGGTTTGTTAGAAAAAGAGTTGGCTATACTAGTATATATATATTCAAAAATATATATGATTTGCATATTAGTATTCTAAAATACTAATAGAATACCCAGTAAATCAAATTTTATTACCCACAAAATGTGTTTGTCATCTGCAAAATATATTAACTTTGCAAATAAATTTTTAATATACCAAGTTTGTAAAAACAGGTCTTTTGAACTTGTTTTGATAAAACAGGTTAAGTGATATTTTATAAGTTTATATTTATTTTTGTGTAACTTACTTTTTGTGATTATGCTGTGTAATCTGATTTACATAGTAGAGTCATAATTAGCATAATAAAAATAATCTACAATAAAATAAAATAAAATAAAAATTTAATAAAAAGATTAATTTAAAAGTTATATAATAAATTTTTTTAATTTTATTAATACAGTAATAAAGTTTTAGAAAAATTCAAAATTCGCTAGTGTAAAAAATTGATTAATCACACATGATTAGCAAATTTTTTAAGTTGATAATGCTAGGATGGTTGATAATAATGCTGTAATGCTATAGAATTGTTCAGGGGTTAAGTTCCAGACTTTTACTGGTTTCCAATTTCTAGTTTTAACCTTTTTTTACATTAAGTAGCATAATACTGTAATGGCTTAAAATCTATAAACTAGATAAAACCTCCAAGTAATATAAAGAATGTTTTAATAGATTTTATGAACTATTTTTGTAAGAATCTGCTTAAATACTGTATATTATGCTTTGAGTTCTACATAAATCTCATAAAATATCCACTGTATAATAAGAAGTGGTTTTAGTTAGACAGGTACATAAATAATCGTTCAAAAGATCAAGTAGATTTTCTCAAGAACCAGGTAAGATTTTGAGTGCAATTTTCATGTGCTTTTACAAATTACCCAATTATCAATCTGCTGTATAATATCTAACTAGTTTGAAGAATACAGTGTCAATCTTCTACTGATTTTTTTAATATCATCTGGACTATTACTAGTAAATGGTAATAGAAAAACATGATATTGATCAAAAGTTCGGGAGACCTTGTTCTCAGGCAGTTCTTAAGGACCTTCCTCAATGTAATTGACTGATGAAGCTCAAATGCTACAATCAATTGAGTGGGATTGTCACTCATCGTTATGCTTGAAAATCCCAAATCCCAAATGTCATATATCACACTGAATCCAAAAATATCACGTGATTTGAGAGTCATAAATCTGCCAAAATTGGATTAAAATTTCCACACAATTCCCATTTACTCGTTCGTTTTGTCTATTTAATTTAGTTTGTGAGTATAAAGAAAATTTAGGCTATTCAATTTTATTCGCGTTAGTTGGTAAAAGATCGATTATTGCATAATTTAGGATTAAATAAGTATGAATACGGTTAGTTCATGTATAAATATCAGTTTATTTTCTCAACTCAATAGAAATCTATAACAGCTGAATTCAGAAATAATTATTTCGCCTATCAGTATGTGGCAGACTATTATTCGATGCTGCCAAGGAAAGCTTGTCGTTGGGGTTTCAATTTTAGTGCTTACCGGACAAATTCCATCTGATTTTTGGTCATGCCTCATCTCCCAAAGGTAATTTCCATTTACTCGACATCACGCAGATGATAATTTATTAACAATGTACAATGCTAACCACAACCCTATGTGATGTTGAGTAAATGTGCGGCTACCCTGATTTTCGAGGACTGTATCCGGATAGAGATTATCCTCTTTCCTATTTAAAATTTAATGGATATCCGGTTATCCTGATACTGCTTACGATTTTATATAACTATATAATACAGTAATTATTGTAAAACCAATAAAACTGGCGGATTTCCAGATCACATTTCTAAGTATCTGTAAATTACAAATTTATTGATTTGGGACCAAAAAAATTTTTGATAATAAAATCGATAAGTAACTTATCGATTCTGTCATCAGAAAATTTTTATATGAAATCCCGTGCAGCACCTAGTCTAAACCGGTTCGAACTGGTTCAAGACCGAGGACTGAAAAAAACTGGTTCAAAGACCAATACTCAACCTTAGAGTTTAAAGCCTCTTATAAAAAATTATCAATCTACCAAAATTAGGTTTCATATTTGCCGAAATTATTTTCTGAAATTACTTTTTTCAAAAACGATTTAACCTACGTCTATATGTGGAAAAACCTATTACATAGTTGAGTTATATGAAATTTTCAAATTTATTACGTTCGATTTTCTACTTTGTACAGAACTTTCAAAGTTATATAGACTAATTAAATAAATAACCAATTTTTTGCTAAGCTATCATACGAGCATAAAAAATATTACGCTCGATAATTACAAGAATGTATTACATCATGAAAATAATAAAGATGTTTAATTGAACCAATCTCTAAAAATAATAGATTATTTTAATACTATATAACTTACTTATTAGGTGATTAGATAGACTTGCCCGTTAGCCATTGAAGAAATACCATATAAAGTGTTACACCACCAAAACACACTACATCGCTACATCGTCTTGTTGCCCGACATCAGGTGCGTTCGTCGGAATCAACGAAGCAACAAAGGTCCATAATGCATGCTCAACATCTTGAAGAGTAATTGATCTTGCATTTTCTGGGGGTGGTTGTGGAACATTATTAGCACCATTACTATTATTGTTAATATTATTTTGTTGTTGTTCTCTCGATGACGAGGATGTAGATGAATTGGCAACATTGTTATTTGGATCATTGGTTGGCATGGGGGATGGCGGTAAATGAGCAGTTGATGAGGACGAAGAAGGGGTATTGCGATTATTTAGGTCCGGTTGCGGAATTGGAAGTCCTCCCGGATTTTGCTGTACTGGCATTTGTGGTAATTGTTGAGCTTTTTTTATACGGAATTCATAATTATTCCGTTATAAAAAATCTCAATGATTAGTTTACTTATTGATTAAACTATATGTCAAGTTCAACATCAAATCTAAATATATACCTAAAATATCATTGCCTACATTGGGTATAGGTGCTATGATTCTCTGTCTACGCCTCCGCACGATGCGTAACCGTCCAGTTTGATGTCTATTTTATATGTAATAAGTTATATTGGCGTTCAAAACCATAGTCATCATTATGAAAATGGTTCGCTACTCACAAAAAAATTACAAATGCCATAAAATACAATAAAATCATCCGTTCAGTACTAGCATTTTGTGAAAAAATGTAAACTAAGAAACCAAGCTTTACAATCAGCCACAAAGTAGCCGCTCGGCGTTGATTTCTTGCAGCAGCGTCTTGTCGAGGTTCTGGAACCTGAGCAACCAAAGGTTGTTGCGTTTGTACACCGATTTGCGGTGTAGGAAAGTACGGGTATGGGTACGTATACCGGTATGGATAGTGAATTGGTGCAATATAAGGCATTCCACTGAAATCAATGATCATACAGGTCAAAAATTTTTTTTTTTAAAAAAAAAAAAAATTCCAATTACAAGTATAATCTTACTTTATCATAACATAATAATACTGCAAAGGCAGTCCTATTGGGTAGAAATTCTGATTTAAGAGAACGTCATGCTGCTGTTGTGGATTAATGGAATACTGCTGTTGTAAGTATGTATGTGCATGCTCTGAAGGTGGAACAAAATATGGCATGTTAAGATTCGGAGGTTGCTGAGCGAAATCAGTTAAGCCTGTAGTACCAAAACTTTGATCTGTTAAGGGTGTAGCTATTCTTGCATTCGTTGTGGTAGATGTCGAGCGAGCTATAGTGGTTTCTGCAGACGTCTGAAACGAAGGCTTGACGACCAAATGAAATATTTGGTCAGTTGCCAGCTCACTTCGTAAAACGTTTATGATAGTATCAGAATCATTTAGCACCCTTCCTCTGTAGATCAACCTTTGGTCTCGAACGTTTGGTTTAGTAGGATGGGTCTCGAAGATGGTCCGTTTCAAAGTAAGAACCGACGAGTCAAGACTAGTTAATATGGAAAAGTCATCGGGTAACGAGGTAGTTGGCGAACGAATGAATATTCTAACTTTGCCACATTCACCATTAAATTTGGAAGAATCGCTACTTGAGGACGTCGCCGGTTCAGACATTGAAAAATGTATATTTCTAAAGGAAAAACTACTCTTAAAAAATTTCAATCGGAAATATTTATGTAGGACTAATATATATCACGTGAATAACCAGCTATCGTGTACCTTTATTTATCCTTTTTTTTTTGAACACTTGGCTATAATTGATTGATACGTCAGGTTATTTTATCAATATATAAAACTATATACTTTCTATTTCATACACGTGAGAGTCTTAAAATTATTTTATAATCTCACGCCTTTGAGAAACATGGCTTCACGAAAAATTCCCTCAAGCTCAACTGCAGACTTATAAAATATAGTGTCTGATTTGTTATAAATCTTGGCATTGTTCCAGATTTTTTGCATATCAATTGCAAATTCTAAAAGTGACCGATACCTATTATTTTCCATACGCTTTGAAACGGTAGAAAGGTCCATAGGATCCTTGATTATATCGTAGTAGTCAGGAACATCATCTCCGTTTACAGGTTCATGAAATGGTAACGATGAAGGATGGCTTTTTAATCGATTAAATATTTCTTTCATAACAAGATAATGTGACATACGCTTAATATCTTTTGCCTGTTTTTCCAATTGTGGTGTCCATCCAGATATTCTAATTCCCGGCACCGACATCGGATCTACAGACTTGACACCATTTTTAAAACATTCCAAGCCACGATAAATAATCGGAGGTTTGCACGTTTGTGCTATTTTATTTTTCACCGCTTGTTTTTGTTTTTCCAGGATTTGTCGAATCTGTCTGTACTTTACTTTTGGTATTAAAGTACACTATTTAACCAATTTTTATGAATTCAAGAAGGATAAGCCATGAATATATTGCTAAATTGCTAAAATAAAATAAAATAAAATCATAATAATAAATATAAAATAAATTCAAATTTAATCACATCATATACCTGCATGAGAGTCGCTCCTGTATAATCCTTCAAGTGTCCACCCCATATATCTTGATCTAACGTGATTTCGTCAGTAAATCCGTTTTTTCGAAAAAAACCAACTGCAAAGTCATCTGCATAAACCAAGAATTGTGTAATATTAAATGTATCTTTTATATAATCCTTAAAGTAATTCATCAATTTTGTGCCATATCCTTTCACTTGTTGATCACTATCTACCGCGAAAAATACAATTTCAATAAATGACTTCTCCAAGAAGGGTCGATAGCAAATTCCTCCTACAACTTTTACAGGATCCCTTACTATCGCCAAGCTATAATGATTACGATCATAGACAACCCGAGCGATGTATTGTGCCGGCATGTGTGGTAATGCAGTTGCAAATAATTCTTTTATTCCAGTCAATAATATTAAATTATCACGAGAGCCGTCGTTGTTGAGAAGACGCAATCTAGTGCCATATTGCTGCTCTTCCGAATGATTAGCGTTTTCATTCCTCAAATCCTTGTCCGCTAGCTTTTTTCGAGTACACATATATTCAGTACGGTACGATGTTTGGTCAGTACTGTATGGTCTGTACAGTGATTACTGGTAATAAATGTAATGCGTGCGTGCGTACGTTCCCTCCCGTGATTTTTGCCCAATCAAATTTCAAGATCAGGTGTAACGTAAACAATCCATTTTTTAAACCGGCCTAAGGAGAGTGCCGTTTCTTACGTAATTTCAAGAGGGTGAGGGGTTTAGCAGTCCATCACGTTTATATAATATATATAAAAACTATAATTGGTTGCTAATTCGGAGGGAGGAGTATGACCTTAAACTCATACTGGGAGATCTCCAAAATTCCGGTCGGAATGCATTGGAACCCTGACAGAAGGGCAGTTTTGCTAATGAAACTATAGTTGTAAAAAATGCCCAGCTGATAATTTTACTATAGTTTCTGCTAAGCAGTATAGCTAACCTGACCCTAACCCGATGCATTCCTGCCATTCCGACCCGGAAATTTGGGGATTCTCTTGTAAAAAATATGACAATATTAAAAAGAAAGTTTAAAAAAAACGTGACCCAGATCACCCGATATTAGGAAATCATAAAATGCACGTGGGTGAGATATGATTGGTGGAAGAGGTGTTTGTATGTATAATTTACCCTATTGCATAATTCTAAACACCCTACCTGATATAGAATAACTTTTTCATAATGGGTCGATTACATGAAATTGAATAATACTTTATGATTGGTCAAATGAACTTCGCATGCTTAGATAGACAATATTATACAATATTATGTGTGTTAGGCCTATTTTATTATTGGCTAGCCAACCTTCATAGTACAAATCACATGTATATGTAGGGATAGTAAAGTCCTTGGAACTAGAACTCTAGAACCTAGTCTTGAAACCTAGTTTTTAAAAACCAGGTTTTAATTTTTGGATCTAGATCAATAGGTCTGCTATAGGTTCTAATTAGAAATAGGAAAGTCTAAAACTTAGAACCAGATTTTTAAGTCCAGAACTTAAATCTTAAATTTGACTCAAGATTTAAGTTTTGGACTTAAGAACCTGGTTCTGAGTTCAAATCTAAAACTTTAAAAGATACAATAGGTGTTTTAATCAGTATTGGCAATTTCAAATAAACATTATCAAATAATTAAATAAATTGGTCATTGGTCATTTGGTCATTTGAAAGTTGAAATGACCTAATGACCTAATATAAAAATTATAAAAATAAAAAGTACATGTTATGTGCTAGAGCAACTCTTCTCCAGAAGAGTTTTATTAGTATTGTGATAACTGACTTCTAGATTATTAAATTAATCTGAATTTCTTTTATATCTCTTACTATATTGTGACTATCAGTTGGAGAGCAATTATAAATATTAATCCAATTTAGCTCTAATAATTCACTTAATTTAGTATTTATACACTTGTACATGTGATATGATACTATGAAACTCTTAAGCTAAGTACTCATATATAGCTTAATTTAAAGTTAACTTATAACAATAATAATTAGTTTAATTTTATAAATAAAATTAGTATAAGAAAGATCTAGCCAATAAAATTGCTGAATTTAGGTTTGTGTAACTTCTACTTTTAAATGACCAAATGATAAATGACTTGGTTATTATTTTGGTTATTTGGTCATTTAAAATCAAATGACCGGTTATTTGCCAACACTAGTTCTAATCATTTTGAAAAAATACTTGTAAAATATTACCAACAAAAAACAAACTTGTCTATAATTAATTAATGTTAAATTTTAAAAAAAAATTTTGACCCTTAGATTTAGATAGATAATATGTTTAATTCTATCTTTCTACTTTAATAAGAGATTTATTAAAATAATGCATTCTAATTTAAGAATATTAATTATTTTAGTTTAAATTAATATTTACATATTTTATAAATTTGCTGCAATGCTATTCCTTTATCTGCTATTACAACAAAAAATTATAATATTATAATAAAAAGTAAGATCTGCTATAGAATATCAAATATAAAGTGACTATTAGAAGTACAACACATGATAAGACACTATATCATAAAATGTTTAGCTCCTATATGCAGCTTTATTGTTATATAAAATAAAATATTAAATATTTTTTTTTTAAAAATAAGTGATTATGCTATATTTTATTAAAAAGATAATAGTTATATATGCAAATACTAATACTATATCTGATACTAAATATCTGTAAATAAAAATATAACTCATCTGGTTACTATAAGCATTTATCTGCAACCTGCCAGAGTAGAATTTGTTTCAATACTTAATTGTTCCTTATGGTCTCTCTAAGAATATCCCTAACTTGGTTCTACTAGCCCTTTATAATTACCTTCTTTCTTTAAATTTTTTCTACTTAGATCTTGACAGAAAAACTAATATATAATCTAACTACAATAAAAAAACAAAAACAAAGTAAAAGAAAGTGTAAAAAAAAAAGAACAAGTATTAAAAGATTAAAAAAAGAGAGATAAGCACACTAATGAAAAATAAAATATAAAAAGAAAAAAATAGAAAAACAAAAAAAAAGAAGTCATAATTATAATATACATATAAAGAAAAGAAAAAGAAAGTATATTATTATAACCTGTATAAGGCTAAAAAATTATTATATCTTCTATAATAGTGATATATCTCTAAAATTTATATGTTCAGATTAAATATTTCTTAATTCTGTCTCTTTATTTTATTACATACAAACTGTCCAAAAACATGATGTGAGAGGTGTTATATAAATATGTATATGTATATACAAAACACGTAGTTGTAGTACACTGAGTTAATCCCAAAATAGAAGTGATAAACAAAGCTAATCATTTGCTAGGGTAAGCCAAATCACTCACTTTTTGTTAAAAAAAAATTTGAGAAGGGATAGCTGTTAAAAGAAAGTATATATCTTCTTTTATAAAAATAAAATAAGTTCTAAACAATTTAAAATTTTGAGTAAGGCCAGATATTAAACTCAGTATATCAGCAAATTTAATAAACATAATATTGCAAAATAATTTACAAAATGTAAGAACACTGTAAAATTACATAATAACTTTTGCAATATTGCAAAATATAAAATTATAAAATATTATATAAGATATTATACAATATTATATAAAATATTATGCAATACTGTATTATATAAGATATTATGCAATATTATATAAGATATTATATATTGTCCGACAAACTCTTATGATTATGAAAAACTTTCTTTCTGTTATTTTTTTCATATATTATGATATAATTATGTTTTTTTAATATTCAAAAAAAAATAAACTTAGTGAGTAACTCTCTACTAATCATAATCATAAATTATCAGATAACACCATTATTGGGCAAATTTGTGAATAACAGCAATTTGGCTCAATCAGTCAAATGATTGGCTGACAAGTGCCACTTTATGACACTTGTCAGCTAATATCATTTGTTCGGTTGAGCCAAATTGCTGTTATTCACAAATTTTTGCTCAATAATCTATACATATTATGTAAAATAATTTGAAATAATTCGAAACAGAATAAGATAAATTACTATAAAATATGAGAGCAAAATAATTTGAATTTTTTTTTTTTTTAAAAAAAATTTGGCAGTCATGCCTTAACTTTATTAGGCTTTGTACAACTCATCTAGAATATATAAAATTTTACAATTGGGCATTTCAGAAGATAAGTGATAAACTCTTAACTTGTTAGCAGATAGTATATAAGAACTATCTCTAAACAACAAGTACCATAACCCAAATTGCTATCTAAATTACAAGTTACGACTAACTCAATTACCAACTTGGTACCTATATTCGACTTGCTATAGTAGAATTTTCCTTCTTCTGAACTTCTCTTGCAATCAGATATAACCTGGATCTTAACAGATGGTATCTACTACCTGTCATGACCACCTCTCTCTTCTTTTAGACTTCTTCTACCTAAGCCCAGCAACATAATTAAACCCTTATTCATATAAAAAAGTAAAAAAAATAAAATAAAGCCATATTTACAAAAGACATAAATATTTTAGAAAAAAACACCTCATGGTGAGAAAAAAAACACAAATAAGAAATCAAATTCTAACATAAATAAACAAAGATAAAAAAAGTAAAAAAAAAAAAAAAAAAGAAAGGTAGCTATAACACACTATTATAGTCCATTCCAGGCATAAGGATAAAAATTATATAATAATTGAACTAATTACTATATCTAGATTGTAAAACCTTCGTTTTAACTTTGAAACTCATTTTATATACTAACTCAAATCAGGTATCTCCTAAATGGGGATGTGGATCTCTTCCTCATACTATAGCACCATGATTATTCAAATAAACAAAACATGTGATTGCACTCTATTGAGTTTATCCAAATTAGAAAGGTGTAAACAATGCTGATTTTTTGAAGAAAGTAAGCCAAATCCTCACTTTTTTCAAAATTTTTGAAAGACCGACAGAAGAGCAAGAAGAAGTAAAAGGAATCACTTAATCAAATAAAAAGAGTGTAGCTTGAAAAAATAATATGTTATTTTGTTGTTCCCTAGTGTCTTTAAAGAAGTATAGCCTAAGAGCTTCGTCGATAATAAAAAAGAGTAATCTACAGAATTCTCTTAACAACCAAAATTTTTTATACAAGGGCACCTTCTGCCAGTTATCTTGTATAATAATGCTCTTGGCTTGCATACTGAATATCACCTATAGAGGAGTCTTGCAAGCAAATGTTAACCTCTAAACAAATCACTACGTTAGGCTATGATTCTCCAACAAAATTTGTATTTTTCTTCTGTAAAAAATTTGGTTCAAGTAATCTCAAAATAATTTGAATTAATTTGAATTATATTAAATAATTAAAATAATAAAAATTAAAGAGCTAATATTTTTAAAGCTTGAATATTCAAGCATTAAAATTAGACTATCACTGAATTTTATTTATAAATAAAATATACAATTTGATTTAAAATAGATTAACTATTTTATAATAATTCAAAATAATTTGGTATAGTTTTATATAAATTAAATAAAATGAAAATGTATTTGCAAAATGGAAAAAAGAA